GAAGCTAAGCTCACATTTGAGCCAAATAAACAAGGACACTTCCAAGCTGTTGCAGAACAAAATTCTGCCTCACATAACCCCCTCCACTGGCTATCTGCTGTCGTGCATGACAGCATTAAGTATGTTGTCATTGGTCTCCTGCTGACTGCTTCTTACAGGGGAGCATAGATGCCCCACGAAGCAGTGCCCTCCACCCCTCTAATCACCCCACAATACACTCCAAACACAACCATGAGTCTATACACAGCTAATGTTGGAGCTGAGTTGCCAAACCTCGATTCCAAGTCTTAAATTTTCAGCATTTCATCCAAAGTTCAATTCCAAGAAAAAACACCCAGAGAGCAAATCCACGCTAGAAACAGGATCGATAAAGGAGTGCAGAGAGTGTTTGTTTAAGGAATCTTGGGAGCTTTTTACAGTTAAAGAGACTTAAACTAGAAAACAAAGCTCTGAATTATGCGGCCGTTCTGCCAGGTCGTGATGAAGGCAGATTTGACACTGTTGATGCAGAACTTTTACTCCAGTCAGATTTAATCCAGTCAAGTTGATGGTTCCGCCGATTTTACGGCAAATTTCCTGTTTTGCTTTTGCAGAATCTGTGTGCTGAACTTTACACATGTAAGCTGGCTCATCTACTCGCAGAGGAGTTTGAAGGATTGTCGTATTTCACAAGTGAATGTTTCAAAGATATGTGTGATTGAAAAATTTCTGATAATGTCATAGATTGCTGTACTAACAGTGGACCAGTTCAGTCCAGTTCATATATATCACATGAATAAAAACGACTTTTCTAGGCTCTGGGAAAGTTTTACAAATATACATTCTCCACAATTTGAAAATTCATGATACAAAGAGTAACAATTTACACTGACTGCACTTGAAGGTGTCTTGACAAATATTTTATTACTATGTGGATCTTTGGTGAAAGTGTTTATGGTTTTTTTGACCACAGGAGATATTTTGATGCAATACTCCCAAAGGGGACTGGGACAAATCGGCAACAAGGTTGAGTACCGGTCCCTTATCCACATCTGTTCACACATCGACGATGCATGCATGAGCTGGACTAATATTTAGGACTAAAGGAGGACTCTTGTTGCTTACAGTAACAATTCTTAAATGTTTAGATCAAGCAAGCATACTGTTAGGCTGTAATTAGAAAAGTATCAGAGAAATGTAAGTTAGACCTGATGATGGAGCTTGAGACAGAATGTTCTCTCTATTCGGCTCAAAGAGAAGACAGTGCTCTTGCTTGCGTGTGAACCCATCACAATCAGCTTGGGTGGAGCTGAGTGACAAAGGCAGTGAGATGAGTACATCATTAATACTCAGCGTGAATTTAAAAAGAAAGAAAGAAAACTAGCAGGGCTGCCTCACATGATTAAAATGCTCTGCAAAACTTTATACATTTTTAGTGTGGTAGGTTGCTAGTCCAGAGATTGTGGTTGTTTGCTGTAGTGAGAGTTTTAAAACAGTAACACATAGATAGTGAAAGAAGAGGAGAAATCGACACCAAATGTAATGTGGTGAGTCAGACTGCTAGGCTATAAAAGTTCAGTCTGGGAAGAATACATACAAGCACCAAGTTTCATTCCTCTGCTTCACAGCTGACAAGACATGTCACTCGAGATACAAATATCAACCACATGACGGTGCTAGTGGGCAAGTTAGGTGATCCCTAAATGCATTTAGATTTGTCCTCTGCATGTATATCGACAGCAAATGTCATATTATTCAATATATAGCATTTGTCCAAGCATTTAATTGCAAATAAAAACATGTCAGCCTCATGGTGGCATCACCATCATCACCATCATCACCATCATCACCAAAAGTAAGCAGGATTTGTTCTCTGGAGACCATGAATTAGTGTTTATCATTTAAGGACAATCCATTTGGTAGTAGTTGAGATAGTTCAGTCAGTATTAAGGTAGCTGACTGATCAGCTGACAGAGAGCCAGACATTGCCTCATGCTATGTTTTCTTTGGCCAAAAACATGATGGCCGACTGGGGGCAAATGACGTCCATATACACAAATGAGCTGCATATACATGAATGCGTCGCATAAACAGAAACGTGATACAAACACAGAAAACGTGCTGCAAAAGGACAATGCTGCATATACAGACGCAATGCATAACTAAAAACAAATGCAAAAAGAAAACATTGCATATCCAGTCACAAAACATAAGTGCCATAGGCCTCTAGGGGCAGTTTTTAAGTCTTTAGCTTTTCAGTCACTGTGATTATATGGGTGCTGAAGTGGTGTTTTACTACCGTCTCCCTGTGTTTTCACTGTTATTTAAGTTTATCCATTGAGACGAGAGAATACATACCTTTTCAGCTTTTCCCTCAACTAACGGTACCTGTCTCGCTTACCATTGTCTGCCTCTCAGGTGAAAAGCTCTCGACTGCCCCTAGAGGCCAATTTCCCTGAGGTACCCTACGACAGTTCTATCTAAGCTGTGGCACTTCTGTTGGGTGACTTGAAACGCAGCATTTTCTTTTTACATTTGTTTTCATTTATGCAGTGCATCTGTTTATGCAGCGTTTTCTTTTTGCAGCACGTTTCTGTTTATGCAACGCATCCATATATATGCAGCTTGTTTGTGTATAAGCACATCATTTGCCCCCGTCGGCCACCATACAAAAATGGGGACTAAACCTGCCTAGAAAAGCAGTTTTTTAAACTTTAATGAAAAAGTCTGTTATTATTAACTGGTGATTGTTGCTTACAATTATGCCGTTATTTTCGATTATGTGTTATTCAGGGGAAAATGATCGAATGTATGTGGCACTTGAGCGTCCTGTATGTTTCTTCACTTCTTAAAGGGTTAATCGCCTTTTCATTTTTCATTTTTAAGTGTGGGAAGGACAAAACTTGAATAGAATATCCCCACAAGACTTTGCAGGGGATGGTTGCTTCAGACGGAGGCACATACAAACACTTCAGCCTGAGGAGAAACTAATGACTAACGTTTGTTTTTGACAGTGTTATGCATTTTAGGCGATTCTTTTTTCTCGGAATTTGGTTCAACACCACAGTTTGACACAGATATCACAGTTTCGCTGAACCTTGTATGGATTTCCTCATGCACCAGTTAATGTGTATGAGTTTGTAAATATAGGCACAGCAGAAGGCAAAGTGGTGTTTCTGAAGTACTCCTGTGACCTGCAGTTCTTCTGTGGCAATAATTTCTGAAGTTATTGTACAGCAACTGGTTTAATAAGAAAATTAAGTGTTTACAAAAAGAGTTCAAGAATCCAGTGTTTGTAGACATGTGTTTTCTGGGTGGATCCTCTTCTGGATCACACGTGTCCTCCATTTGATACAGAATGTGGGGGTTACACCACTACACATCAGCCAGATTGTGTGGGGTAAGTTAATCTGCATCTGTTTCAATACCAAGGCCTTCGTGAGCTCATTAAAAGAGTTCGGAGAACTGGGACTACAGCCAGAAGAATATTGTCATGATCTTGCAACAGCTCATTTATCATCTATGGAAACTCCCCATTGCATGAACCCATCCTCCCATATCAAAAACACATATTTGCTTTTATGCTAATCTTGTTTCATCTCATCATGTGCTTTTATCTTTGCTTGGATTTGTTTTCAGTTTATAGTGATTGATGAAGAAACCTAAAATTATTTATGTATTCTTCTTCTATTTTCATAGTCCTGGCAAACTTGGGGCCCTTTTGCGGTTTATGTCTTTGTAATGTAGACTTTCTTTCCTCTATTTGTTTTGCACTTGTCAAGGTCAGATATGGGACAGCCACCTTTCAAAGTAACTAGTACTCAGCAGTGTATCATTTCTAATTCCTCGTTCTGACAGCAATCATACAGTAACACTGCTGACGTGTCCCGATGAGGCATGCCTTGCTAGAGATCAGTTTCTTTTTTTTTTTTTTTATATAACTCACACAAACTCAAAAATAGGTTGCAAATGCAGTCTGAATCCCTGTTTTGGGAAAATTTACTAGTGTTTTAATTGTGATAGATATCCTCAGCTAGGATTTGCTTGGTTCAAGCATGGTAAAACAAAAATGTTCACAAGTACATGCTGTTTTGTTGTGTTTGTTTTTGATAAGTTTCTATGTGGTTCATAAGTTGCTGCTAGTTGACTATCACTAGATTGTTCCTAGTTGGTTGCTATAATGTTTGTTGTGGTTGACATTACGCTATAATAACTCAGTTTGATCTGTTGCAACATATGCATGTACCAGCACATGTTTAGAGGGTTAATAGGTGGTTGTCAGGATGTTTTAGGAGATTCACGGGCTGTTTCCAGGGGGTTTTCTGTGATGCTTCAAGGCAGTTATAGGGCGTTCCTCGGTGGTTGCAGGATTAGATGATTTTTAAGCGGATTGAAAAGGAGCTAACATCAGCTAAAATCTAAAAACTGCATTATGCATGTACAAACTAGAGATGGTAGGTACACGTACAAACAAATCTCTAACACTGAATCTTCAAACTTAGCTGACTCTACTAAGTCATTGTTGTCACTCCAAAGCTCTTGGCAGTGGGGTTCCCCTCACCAGTTAATAAGGTTGTTCACACTGACTTGAGCCCTGCGTAGAAATCACAGCCCTCTTATTCATTTAAGCGAGTTCAAACCAATGATGCACCGAGGATTCTTATGTAGAGGTCTCGTACAACTGGTTGTAAATACAATTTTTCTACTGTTTAGCTTGTGATTTTATACAAAATAGTTTCAACTCTCATAACTTTCCAGATTTGTAAAACCCTGTCTGACCATTTCAAATCTTTTACCAGAGTTTGAGCATCTTTCAACACATTCATCTGTCGCTGGATTTCCTTGGACACCACACATCCTTTTTTTTTTTTTTTTACTGCAATGCTGTTTTCAATCTGAATCCCTGCACAGAGGGTAAGTGTCAGCTCAGTCGCAATTCTTGTGTTATTTAAAGAGTACAATAACCACAGAAAGAAGCAAGACTTGTTTTCTGTGTCTCAAAATGAGAAGCTGCTGAGCTGTTAACTTTGTACACAGTGTTAACTTCACCGTTTTGCTGTTTATTAGATAGACCATGCAGAGATAGACATGGATGGGTGACGGGAACAAGAGGCAACACAGCTCTGATGTCAACTGGAATCAAGGTGTGAATGTGGCATAAGCCCTAACCATGAAGGCCACCAGGACATGTTAGCACAGACATTTTGCAAATCCGGAGCTTCTTTGTGTGTTTCAGCAAAATATATGAGCGACTGAGAGATGATGTTATGCTGACATCTGTAGCATGCAATCATGGGACATATAATCAACAAAATATAGAAGATTAAAGTGTAACAAGCATGAACTCCAAAGACTGATTGAAGAAAGGAGTGATTAAAACAACAAATAGCACTGCAAATCACAACACCAAAGTATGCTTCATATATGCAGAACATATCATTTAGATGTTTAGTGGCTGTCACGTGATGAGTTGAGGCGTTGAGGTCTTGTTTAGGTTGTGACGTACTGATGTTCAAATGGTGCTGCAGGCTTCACTGTTCATCATCAGATCATGAACTGTGAGCCAGAGAGGTAATGAGACTCTTTCCAGATGTTGGTCTCTCCACAGTTGGTGGTCCTCCTCTTACACTGGCAGCAACGCTTGTACTCTGCAAGCTTATCTACCAGGAGCTGACCAGCAGACCTGACCACGGGGAGACACAAGGAGAACGAATGTACTGCATGAATTTTGCAGGCAACTTTTAGACAAGTCAGTGACAAGGTGCAACATCTCGCTGTTATTACATGTGTCGTGCAAGTACCAATTTTCAAGGGCTAAAACTGAGACTTTCAATCAAAAATTTGAATGTTCAGTCTTTAAATGAAGGACACCAGTGCTACAGTTCTACAGTTCTACAATTCTACATTTTCATTTTGCAGATGCTTTCACCAAAGCAACGTACATCTGAGAGCGGATACAACACAAGCAAGGATCTAGTCAGGAGAAAACAATCTAGATAAGTGCTATAGACCGAGTTAAAGTGTGATAGGGTAATGATGCCAATAGCAGGCTGTGTGGGAGGTAATAGGATTTTTTTGTTTGTTTGTTTGTTTGTTTTCAGTCTGTCAAGTGCAAAGGTTTTCAGTGAAGAGCTGGGTCTTTAGCCTTTTCTCAGCAGATTGAACAGGAGTTTGGTAACTCGTTCTACCATCGGGGAACCACAGAGGAGAAGAGTCTAGCTACCGACCTCGGGCCCTGTTGTGGTCTTTGTATCAGGCGGCTTTTGTTGGCTGAGTGTAGTGACTGGGAGGGAGTGTAGCCCTGAATGAGAGAGTTTAGGAAGGAGGGAGCTGTTATCATTGTAGTTTTGTGGGCAAGTGTCAGAGTTTTGAATTTGATGCAGGAAGCAACTGGAAGCCAGTGAAGTGATGTGAACAGTGGGGTGACATGTGCTGCTTTTGGCTGGTTGAGAAACCAGACGTGCTGCTGCATTCTGAATCATCTGCAGAGGTCTGACCGTGGATACGGGGAGGCCTGCCAGTAAGGAGTTGCAGTAGTCAATGCGTGATATTATGAGAGCTTGTACCAGGAGTTGTGCTGCATGTACAGACAGGAAAGGTCTGATCTTCCTGATGTTGTGCAGGGCGAATCAATGCATGATTCTATCTGCCACCATTTTGGAAATATTGTGAGTTAACTTTCTAGTCAGGTTGCAACAAAGTGACATAATTAAATAAAAACCAGTTAAACCTAAACAGTGGAAAGATCGACATGTGGCATTTAGATGTTATTAAGTAAAAGTAGATCTGATATTGTCATCTGCTGCTGTTTTTCATCTTTTTTCTTGAGTGCAAGTTCAAAAGGCATTGTTTAGAAGTCTGCACTTTGTCACATTTTGCTTTCATTGAAATGTTCTGCTTCAACCAAGCATAGAAAATGAAAATAGATTCAAATCCACCTGATGTAAAAGCCTCTGTTTGGTTTGCTCCAACAGTTTGGAAGGTGATGCTAAAGGTCAGTGATCACAACAAGTGAAACATTTTGTGTGTGGATGATTAATCAATTCATTAGCAACATATTACCTGCTTTAATTCAGGAATAAGTACAAAAGTAAAGGTGAATACTGATGCTGCTCAAGGTAATCCTGCATCTACACACCTCAGGAATCGTCTCTCCTCTTCTTCTCGCTTGTGTTTGAGCGTCGCACTGCGACTCCAATCGTCTTCTAGCGACTTACTGATGTCTCGCTTCTTCTCAAAGCGATGAATGCGGTCCAATATTAACCTGGACAGAAAACATACCATAGAAATACAGAAAAACAGGCTTACACTCAGGCTGCCACATTTTCCTCCCACCGTTATTGGTGTCTATTTAATTTTGACTGTCATTTACTCACTCCATTTTGTTGTGTTGCAGCATCTCTCTTTCTTTCTCCAGCTGTTGCTGGCGGTTGTGCAGTTCTTCTTTTTTCCTCTCAGCAGCAGCAGTGAAATTCACCTGGAAGAGCTGTCAGTATGAAGAACATCACATCCACTTAACTGTGCAGTGACCAGTTTTAACTCAAGACATACAGTGAAAACCATGAGAGTATGGTGTGCAACTACAGTTGTTTTTTGCTGTATACATGAGGCCATTACTGAAAGTCAAAGGTTTACAGGAGCTGCAGCAGTAACATAAAAACAGATATGACCTTCTGTGCTCTGTCTCGGCTCTCTGTGTTGCTGGCTGCTGTCTTACAGCGGCTGAACCTGGAGGTGTCAGGCTGGAACTCTGGAGGTTCAGTGCACTTCTTATCCCCCACCTAAGGAAAATCAAACAGGCTAATTTGAGATCTCAGGATACTATTGAGTGTGCTGCGGATTATGAGATAAAAACTTGTGAAATCTGGCTTTAAGGAGTTTGCCTGGGCAGGCTGCCTGCTCTCAGGATGGGTGGTAGCTTCACTACTTACTGCACTTCCTTTGACTGAGGACCTTCCTCAACCCGAACAACACAACAGCACATTTGGGTCTTTCTAATGTGATGCTGAAGCTAAGATTCTTCAGAAAATGAAATCATGAGACATAAATTCACCTAAAGTATACCTTAAAGCCTATTACGCTAACCAGAATAAAACTAGCAATAATTTTAAAAAAAAACAAAAAAACAATTTAACATTTTATGATACAATACACAAGAATGTGAGTAGTTACTGAGGAACGCATAGCAATGAATCCAAAATTTGATAATTAAGGATTAGTTACAAAGTGGTTCCTGGATAATTCTGAATTAATTAATAGAGAAGAAGCAATCACTATTTCAGTTCAGAGAAACTTATTATTGCCAAATTATTGATATTGATATACAGCAACATCTTCCAGTAACTGAGCATTATGAAATAAATGGTGTTTGATTCATATTTACGCAAGAGCTGCTTAGTTATGATTAATCATTACTAAGTTTAATTATTTATTGATATACAGCAACATCTTTCATAATGCTACTGGAAGATGTTGCTGTATATCAATGAATAACTGAACTTAGTAATGATTAATCATCCGGTTGTCAATGTTTTGTTCATTTGTCATGAAGAGTACGCATATTTTTGTGTGCCAAAAAAGTTTTGCAGCAAAACCGTCACTGTGTTTTCTTCATAATGGGGTTCCAATGTTGTAATCTTTTTCAAGGATTATTCAAAGCTTACAATGTTGACTTGAAATCAGTTTTTTTCCAACCCATATAAGTACTGCTGATCTGTGCTTGTGCTGCTCTACAAAGAACACAAAGCCATTTTCAAAAACATCTTTTGTGAAATCTCAAGTGTGAAAGTCAGCTTTGTGAAAAATTCTCTTGCCTGAGTGTCCAGAGCCCTCTTGTAATGCCTGGCTTTCTCCTGTTTCTGCTGGAGCTGCTGAGCCTTCCTCAAAGCTATCCTAAAACACCAGAAGACCCTCTGGTTATCACAGCAGATGATTCCATGAAACACCTGAGCAGCACCACAGTTACTCACTCCTGGGTCAGTTGGACCTGGTCTAGGCACTCTATCACAAGACGGTTCTGCTGGTCTTCTGCTTCGTGTTTCCGGCGTCTCCCTATCTGGCTCTGAAGATCGCTCATGTATCGATGCTGCTGAATCCTCCTGGGAGGTGTGAGGGGCCGAGTCGGGAATATGAATGAATTCTGAACACAACGCAGAGAAGACATTGAAGTTTAACAAACCACAGAGACTGAAAACAATTGTGTGATAGAATGTTTTAACTATATTTATGTCAAAACCTGCCAGTCGGTTGGAATGAGATACTATTTTTAAACAGATGGGACCGATTACTGAGTTGCCCCCAAGAACCTTCTTGCCCACCTGAAGAAGGGACATCTATAGAGTCACCAAATCACGAAAATGACACCATTTATCAGAACCCAGAAACTGGGAACAGAAAGAATCAGCAGATTTTCAACTTTCCAATAATCCTTGACCCACTCATCTGTGGTGTGCTTTAAGAAAAATGTAATGAAATGTAACTTAAAATTATGATACTTCTTTAAAATCACAGTATCCTACATTTCTAATTAAAAATTTGCCAAAATAAAGCACTTGCTTGAATAACATGTTGATTCCACTTGATTTTTTTGTGCAGTAATTAATCAGGCAAATGTTTCCCTTTTTTATGATTTATGGCATTATGACTTTGTCAAACTGCATAGAAGATTTTTTTTTTAAAAGTTCTTTCTACTTCTAGCCATGGTTATGTTGTTTCCATGAAGGTTTAGGACTTTAGATTGCTTGAAAATGATCCAACAGTGAGTAAAAATGTGACGGGAGTCGAAATGAAATAGAACCTTCTGGATATCAAAAATAAAAAATTCTTGCAATGCCCTCATATTCTCTGCATTTTTTCTTGAGCAGCCCTTCAGTATGCTAGCATTCATTAGTTACTGTCAGGGAATGGGGTTTTCTGGGCTGTTTGTGTGTTTTCTCCGACAGGTTATCCACCAGAGGGCGTCCTGGGGATCTCTCGCTGTGCTGGGGCTCATCCCTCCAGGGATAAAGGGAGCAGTCACCAATCACTCACTGCCCCAGTGTTCACCAATGTGGTAAACTTCAAGCCTCCTCCAGAGTACTTCTTGTGCTTTTTCCTGAGCCTGCTAGTAATTGTCTTTTCCCTCTCCAAAGGTTTTTCCCGTGTACCTGCTCCTCGCTTATGCTTCTCCACGACCAACCTGTACCAACTCGAGTTTTTCTCCGTTGCTTCCTGGATTATCAACTCACGACTGGTACGCTCTTGCTCCTCGACTCCACTGCACTGACCACCGCATGGCCTGCCCGCCCAGCCACCCCCAAGACCCTCATCAACGTTCCAGCCTGGTTAAACCTCATCATTGCACATTCCCAGTTTTCTGCAATAAACCTCATTGTTCTAAGGAGAGAGTCTGTTAGCAGCCAACATGACACATCAGAATAAAAGGAGGCCCCGAATTATTCATACCTACACTGAATTTTGGTTTATAGTGAATTTGTATCTAATTCTAATTCCTCTTCTCCAGAGTGTCATTCTGCATGTGGGTCAGAAACATTAACAAAGCCATAATAATAAATAATAATTGATCAGATTTATATAGCGCTTTTCTGGACACTCAAAGACGCTTTACACTGTCAGTTATTCATTCACACACATTCATTCTGGTGGTGGTAAGCTACAATTGTAGCCACAGCTGCCATTCTGCGCCTACGGCCCCTCCGACTACCACCTCAAACAATCCATTCATATGCATTCACACCAGGCAAGGTGGGTGAAGTGTCTTGCCTAAGGACATAACGACCATGAAACAGGTTACAGGGCGGAATTGAACCGCCGACCTTCCGATCACCGACCGACTCGCTCTACCACCTGAGCCACAGCCGCCCCAAACAGTTACCATGACAGTTACCTCTATTTTAAATACAGTCGTGACTTGACATTCCGACCCTTAACAATCCGAAAAACCTTGCTATCCGACAGGTTTTTAGGAAAACCGGCAGCCTTGGATTCTGACTCCGACATGACATTTTATGTCACAAATAAGGATAACGGCGTATTATCTGATTTAACAATCCGACAGATTGGCTATGTTCAGACTACAGGACTTAATGCTCAATTCGGATTTTTTATTTTTTATTTTTTTGCGAGTTCGTTCACATTTCCAATTAAATGCGACTTGTATGTGGTCTGTGTGAACGTCATACAACCCCTACCCCCTCCACCCCACTTCACTTCACCTCACCTCACCTCACCTCCCCTCAAACACACCTAGTTACCACAAACCAGTCAAACCAGTCGGGGGAATACATGAATACATAAAACTATAAAGGTTACAACGTTCACATCCAAATCTACTCACGGGATGCACTTCACCATCAATCTTCTCTTTCTTCTCTGACAGTTGAAGGTTGAGTGCAGCAACCTGCTTTGCATGCTCACGTTGTTCCTTTAGCTTTACCTGCCAGAAAAAACCACATACACCTTTAATTATCATGTTGACGAAAAAAGAAAAAAACAAAACAAAACATTAAGACCATGACATCATACTCGGCATGGTGAAAAATGTGTGTGTGTGTGTGTTTTATTTTTTTTTAAAGCTCTGCTCCTTTGGTCTTTAAATCTATTGTTATGGACGTTGCAGTCTGTTTAAGTGGGTGTTTTACTGAGCCATGAAATCATTTTGGCAAAAACATTATTTAAGGCATTTAAAGTTCATTTTTGGTTACAGTATCCCGCATTTCCCATGCTTATTATCCACTGCTGTACAGAGGTTAAGCTGTTTTTCAGCATTCTGGCCCCAACCAGTCTAGAACCACCCTTAACTCTTCAATTGCTGTTTTTGGTTTGTACAAATTTTATTGAAATTTTTTTTCTGTCAAGACATAGTGGTCTTTGTTTTGTCTCACTTCTCCCTGTGGTTGAGTGGATTCACAGTTAGTAGAGGCTCAATTTGTGTGTTCTGTAGTGTTCTAATCTCACTTCTGGATTACAAACCGCAAAACAATTCCCAGAGGGCTCTCATATCACTTTTAGTAAACCTCAACAGATTTTAAGGGTATTTGAAAAGTTGTGTATGTCAATTTATTCAAGCATTTTATGGACTTTTAACTGACTTTTTACAGTGTTAATATCCTTGCCTATGTGACCTACACAATCACAACATGGGTGGACTAACAGAGTTCGTCGAACTCCAACTCAGTTTGAGGTTGATCCACGACTTTAGTCCAGTCAGACGTTCATGTTCCCCAGAGGATGCTTTGGTCATTACAAGTTTTAATATAGTACCACTATCAAGTAGATGTTGTAGTTTTTTTTAATTAAATTTTTTTTGACAATAATTGGACTGATTGCTGTTTGGTTTAAAATTCATGTTCCCCTCAAGATAAACCACAACAACTTCTCACTTGATCATTAAGGTAAAACTCTTTTTTGTTTGTTTTTTACAGTAGGGTAAACCAAGGTAAGTTGCCCCCCTGAGGCATCATGTCAGGGAAGATGTTCCTATCATACTGAGATTTTGCAAGATTTTACATTTAGTCTTTTAATAACAAAGTTGGCATCAATGGAACATGGCAAAATGAGACATATATGCACACACACACACACACACACACACACACACACACCTGTTCCTCCTCCATGTACTGCTGGTCTCTCTGTTGTTCTTTTAACAGTAAGAGTTTCTCCTGAGCTTTCTCCTCTGCCTGCTGCTGCTCCCTCAGATACACCGGAACATTTCTTTGGGCTCGCTGCATGCAAAGGTAGCACAACTCCTACAGGGACAAACACAACAAGATGATGGCAAACAGTTATTTACGAAGGGTGTGAAAGTCCAATCACCTGGATCAATTTTATTATGAAAACACTGATCTAGATAATTTTCTTTAAGTTAACTGATTAAAGAAAAAAAAAAAAAGTATACTTATGTGGAACTTTATGGTGAACAGCAGAAATTCTATTTTTTTTCTTTTTATTAAATTAGTTGTTATTTAAGTGTCTGGATGTGATATTATTTAAATAGAACTGACTGTGTTAAATGGGCAAATGATATCATCTCTTATCAGTTACAGGCTCCTGAATTCAATTGAAATTGTGGAAGGTTTTGGCAAATAACATATTCATATATTTATCTGCACCTTGGTGATGAAGACGCTGTGTATTTTTAGGCCTTCTTAGCTGGAAATGACTGTGTGCTGCAACTAAAAACAATCTCACGAGATCAGAAGGAGGGAACTGAAACAGTGATTATGCAGCCCATGAAACACCCAAAAGGAGAAGCAATGACAGTTTAAGCATTGGCAAAGTGAGAGGCCCAAGGCAGTTCCATTCTGAAACAATAGTATCCATTAAACCCCACCTCACTTCCATTAAATACACATTTCTCACCTGTCCAGCACGGGTGTGTCCAGAGCAGCTCACATCCAAGAGACGTTCCTCCAGTTTTGGAGGCACCACTTGTTCTGACTTGGAGTTGGTGGCCCTGAGAACAGAAACACATCCTTCACTAATACATGCACAGTAAAGAAAATGACTTCTTTGTACATGTGGAGTTTGGTGACTTCATATTACAGTCACGTGGGTTATTTAATCACATAATGTGTGGCATGTCTGCACAGGGCTTTCATTTTATGCATTTAACAGATTGTAAAAGGATGCTGTTTAGGATTCACTGGATCAAACCAGCAAAGTTATTAGTCAATGTTTGATTGATATGCCAACTTACGAGAACTAGACTTCTTGAAATAAAAAAATATATATACATTATTTGAAGTAACTCAATTAAAAATGCATTCTTGTGAACAAACCCCATTTTTTTAAAGAGATTTTGCATCATTGTCCATATGGGGTCTTTCATATGCTTCAGTTAAAACCTTGACTGAGCATTTCAACTGTGAAGCTACAGTGCAACAATAACAGTCCCAAAAAGATTCACTCTTCCAGGGTTTCAGACACACAAAAAGCTTAAGAAAACAATCCTGGGGTTGCACTTTCTGTAACATTATTCTTCGTCAGAATAGGTTTCTACCACGTGTGGCTGCCATTACGTGGCATAGAGTAGTTTTACAGTGTTTAGGTAGATTGTAGGTGAGCTGGTGTGCTCAAGCTGCAGCAAGGGGACAACATAGATCTGTGAATTACTGAGGAACCAGCAGAGTTACAGTTGAAACCAGAAGTTTACATAAAAAGACATATAATCTTTTTTTTTCTTACTATCTGACATTAAATCAGACTAAACTTTTCCTATTTCACGTCAGTTAGGATTACCTAAATAATTTATATTTGCTAAATGCCAGAATAATGAGAGAGAGAATTTTTTAGAGAAAGTTTTTATTACTTTCTTAAAACTCAAAAGTTTACATTAAGATTATTATGCATTCAAACTATTTTAGAAAGCCCAGAACCTGTGGATGTATTTTAACACACACCTCAAACACACAGCTTCTTTTGGGGAAATCTAAAGAAATCAGCCAAGATATCAAGAAGAGAATTGTGGACCTCCACAAGTCTGGTTTATCCTTGGGCACAATTTCCAGATGTCCGAAGGTTCCATTTTAATGTCAGACAGTGAGAAAAAAAAAACAGGATGTGTCTTTTATACTGTGCACATAAACTTCTGATTTCAACTACACATCTAAGCTATTCTAAGGCAGGAGGGGATCATTTTCATAGAAAAATGTAAACATTTTGATGAATATTTAGGGGTTCAATCAAAGACTGAACAGAGACTTTCCCCTTTGGACAAGTGTTTAAAGGGGGGTTTTACTAATCTTGAAGATATAACAAAATAAGTGGCACAAGTTAGGAGCACTGTCATCTGTAGTGACACTTTGTGTGGGTCACAGTCGACAACAAGATAAAGGATAACAGGGGTTGTGTAGAAGCCATAGGGGCAATCCTCCCTCTTGTTCTCTTGGCTGTATCAGATGCAGGATCAAGAGAAATTTACAATTTACCCAGATTACAGGTGTGTGCGCATGTGTGGGCATGCGTGTGTGTGTGCAAATGTGTCGAAGCTGACGGTGCATGGAAGTGATGACAGAAGAGGAATCTGTCCCACAGGTAGTTGTGCATCATTGATAGAGCTGGAAGCAGCCTCAGGGCAGAAACAATAAAAGACCACCACTGAGCTCTCAGCTCTCACTGACTCATCCACCTGCAAACAACAAGCCCAATGCACTGCAAACTGAACCCCTCCATCGAGTGTGTGCGTATGTGTGTGTGTGCGTGTGTGTGTGTGTGTGTGTGTGTGTGTGTGTGTGTGTGTGTGTGTCTTTGTGTGTACTTGTCTGTGGCCTCCATAGGGGGGTTTGGATTTAGTTCTTCAGATAGGCTGACAGCTTTCATCTTGGCAGGCTGCAGTGTCTGATGGGATTTAGATTCTCTCTGTTGGGGAACTCCTGTAGAGACACACAACACTCTGAGTAGGTGAACTGCTATTAAACATTACTGCACTTACCTCAGTTTGCATAACAGCCGCTTCAAATCTAATATTATTGAGCCATTCTGTGCTCAACAGCTATTCTTTCTCTGTTGTATTCAGACCTCTGTTGCACCCTATTAAGACTGCTTTTGATAAAGATCAATTTCAGTGATTTATACTGTTAAATTCCTGGGCCCATTAATCCCGAACAAGTCACCTCTCCAGTCTTGTATTTTTAGCAATGAGTTATCTATTCTTGAGAATTACAATGCAGCAAGTGAAAGGGAAAAGCTTGGATCATTTTCTGTAACATGAGAAATATTGCTCCACCTCAAACTGCTGGTTCAATCAGTTCATCTGCAACACAGCTTAAAGGAACAGTTTGGCATTTTGGGAAATATTGTGCTTACTGACTTGTTAGTACAATAAATATACAGCTATAGCACAAAAGCTGTTAACTTAGCATAAGGCTGGAAACGGATAGAAACAGCTTGTATATATCAAAATGCTCAAGAAGTTGGAATCAAAATCTATCTAGATACTAAACTAATAAAATCATAAATATTTATACATTTTGGACAATGCTGGTTTTGCATTTGGGGGAACTTTGATTGATGACCTCTATCCTGGTGTACTTTCTTGCTCAGAATGCATTTTTACACACAACAGTAAATATGATCGATCTGCATATAATCAAGACATTGAGTCTGTATTTCACAGAAATCTAAGCAGCTTCCTGTTGTTTCTGATCATTTGATGAACAAAAATGTCTTGTGCTTAAATGAAACCCCAGCTTTTTTTTTTCTTCTTTTATTTTTATCAATTCTTATCATTTAGGTGCTGGTGGTTTTCCTTTTATTTCCCCCTTTGTTCTTTAGCCCATTGACCAAACTATCTAAAATGTAGCCCGTGGCTGTAGCAACCGCAGCCGGCAGTTAGCCTGTAAATCCTTAAGTCTTCTCATCGCTGTCAGTCTAACCACACAGAAGCATTTTGGCATTTCACTCCGTTTACCTTGTCATTTTTACATTTAAAGATATTATGTGGATCAGCCAGGCTGATTGTTTCCCCCTTCTTCTAGTTTATACTGAGCTAATGGACATGATAAATAACCCCACAAACAGCTAAAGCAATTAGCGCATTTTTGCCCATAAGAGAAATAAGAGTTAATGTTACTTCTACTACATGCAATTTATTTTAACCTGACAGCTCATCTTAACTGTGAGCAAAAGGTTATTTGTTGTTGTTGTTCTTTTTGTCTTTGTGGCAACTTATTAAGAGATTTGGATTTGATTCAGTCCTTAATTTAGATTCATTAAAGTATAGTCAAATCCCATCCCTAATTGTCAGCCCAGTGCAAAAAGCTCTTTCACCTCCTGCGTTCCTCTGGTCTGGAGCTGGTGATGAACACCGTCCATCTTTGTCACCGGCTTTGTTGTGTGACTGAGGAGAGCAGACAGTTGGCAGAGTGATGAAGTTGGTAGTCTGTGGCCTTTGAAGCCTGGACAGTCCGCCCGACAGTAAAGAAACACTGCTGCCACGTCTCTGTAGAGGGAAAAAAAAATAAAACAATCTGTATAAATGCATACACAAAGCATTCATTATACACTGTAACATGTAAACGCATTTATTTACTTACATTGTTCAATGCTAGCTGCAGTCTACCAGTTCCATCCATGGCATTAATGAAATCTCTGTTGAATTTCATCTGCACCTTTGAAGAATGTAACATGAGATTAGTGTTTATTGTTATACCATCCAGTGTGAGTCACAGCATTAGAAATTTAAGCAGATGAGCCACCTTGTTGTTCTTAAAAGATAGAACTCCAATTCCCTCGAACGTGAGGAATACGTTTTTTGCGGAGGCCAAAGCTTTGAAGAGCAGAAGAAGTGTTTCTCTAACGCAGCCCTCCACGACGTCTCGACTGAAAGGAGTCTCTTGTGAAATAGCTGCAAAGTTCACCTGCACCACCGGTAAATGAGTTGCTGCAAGGGACAGATGCACACACGCGCACACACACAGAGCCAGAGCATTGATGTTCATTTGCTATTGTGCCAAACACGAGTATATAATTACCAACTTTTTCATCAGCACTGCTGTAAGACTCAGATCCATACTTCTTATACAGTACTTTGTTATTTGTTTTTGTATCTGTTTTTGTTGTATGCATATTGGCATTTCCTCATTTTTTGTATTTAACATTATGTAAAGTAATATGCTTGTCATGAATGAAATCCTCAGAAGTTAAATGTTTGCTAAATATGCTTATTTGCTTCCTTGTCAAGAGTTGAGAAAACTGATATTACTTATGTCTAGCTTGCAGCGAATGAACAAATGAGATATAACATTATAAGTAGGTGGATTTCGTCACCTCTTTTTCTTGTTGTTTCTAGCCACTGTGCTGAGGAAAGCCAAATGGATGCTGGTCGCTCTCGTCATCTAACTCTACATAAGAAATTGGTTGGGCATATTTCCTAAAATGTCAGTTTCTGTTTATTTATTTAGCATTTAGCATTGTGCTTTGACAACAGTGATGAACACATGATGGACAGTGAGAAAAGAGGAATGAAATCGTTGAATTTCATTTGCACACATGAAAACAGTCAAGCTCTCTGTATAGGTTAATAAATGATTACATCGTAGTTATATGTCTCAAGTTTGTTGATGAGGTTTGGTCCAGATGCCCTGCAGACCTTTTCTGGAAGGTAAGAGATCAATCACCTCATTAGAGAGGTTTCCTTAGTGATTTAAAGATCTAGTTAAAAAGACAAGTAAATTGAAATGCTGGATCATCATTTTCCACAATCTTGGCATGTTAATGTGTTGATGGTTTGAAGCTGAGCTATAAAATATTAGTAAACGAGGAATTAACCATTAATTATTCCATTATTACAGCTTACATGAGCGTTATAGATGCAATTTTGTCAGAAAGTTGTAATATTTACTTCTTTGAAAATACCTTTTGGGCTTGTTGATCTCACCTGCAGCCAGCGGTCTGGTCTGTTTTAAACTCAGAGCCTGGACCAGTTTCCCAGCCAGGATGAAGACGGGTCGCTGGATCACTGTGAATCTATTTCCAATGTCCAACTTCTGCTGAGAGAAGGTGAAGGTTCCCAGTCCTGGCAGGTTGACCCCCTATTGAAATAGACCAACCACTTCATTGATGGATGGATGGATGGATGGATGGATGGATGGATGGATGGATGGTGACAAAAGCTTAACGCGACAGCTCGGGTCCATCGCTTGAACTATGACAACTTCTTTTGAAATTATGCTCAACCAACCACTGAGCTAGGAGGATTCCTTCATCCTCTAAAATAAGAGGTAACTAGCGGTCTTAACCACCTGAAACTGTTGAATCATGTTAAAACAGAGGGAGGCGACTTGAAATCCAGAACTCAAGGTGAAAAAAAATTATCAAGCTAATTTCATTAAGTGACCACAACTTAAATTTAGTTTTAAATCAACTAATGCTCAAATTGAAGAAGAAATTGGCCACATTAATAAACTGATGCAATTAAAAACATGATGATGTCAAAATAATGTTTGCAACTCAAAAGGTCTACCAAAATCAGTAAATCATGCATTGATTGCACATATTTAATGAATTTAGTGACTTTATAGATTATATATAGATGGACTAACTTTCTGTAAGGTCATCTGACGTTCAATGTAGGCGGATACATCTGCCCATATGCAGTCAATATCTAAAAGAAAAAAACACATATTAAGTTTGTTTATGACAACAACTAAGCAGCATGTATGACTCCTATGTATTAGCATTAAATAAACCAATGCCCACATTGTCACTGGTCAAGAAAATGAAAACTGTTCCTTGTACCGTCTTTAGAGAGCTGGGACAGAACAGGGTAGGTCCGTCTGTCCTCCTCTGACACCAGCTGCAGTAAGTCAGTCATCTCTGTTCAACCACCTGAAGAATCCTGACGGGACGGGAGCCTTAAAACGATTCTCAAACCCCAGTTTACTCCCAGTTTGGCCAGAACACTCAGGGATCAGGACGGCGGCACTTGAGAGCTGCGGTTGCCCTGGGCGATGCACAGCCGAAGAGGACGCGCTTGAGAGACGCCTGGTTTTCAGAGCGCAGCGGTGCGTCCACAGCACAGCGACAACACAGCAACGTTCACCGTATAATGAAGAGCAGATTAGAAATGAAAGGTTTCTTTAAAAGAATCTTAACATTACTTTATATATCAACTATAATAGTTGTGATAACAATAGACGGATAATGGTAATACCAAATAAAATACATTTCTTTTTATAGAAAACTGGGATTAAAAAAGATCTTTTGATAGTTATGTGAAAAAAGTTCATGATTTCAAGCACGTAATTTCTCTTTTTTTCTTATCTACATTGAAAATACAGGAGAATTTCAGGGGAAAACCTCAGGAAAAGAAACTGACAAGTGTTTTCCAAGAAGGGGCGGAGTAGAAAAGAAAGGAAAGAGAAACAATGCATAAGTTAAACACACTGCGTCATACACTGGTCACACTCACTGGTCAAGTACTGTTCATTTGTTTGTACATTTTTCAGTCAGGCGCCAACATTTGTTCAGATCGTTTGCCTTGTGCTTCAGACTACTGAAATTCCTTTTTTTGTTGTTGTTTTATAGGGCGCATGCGCATTCCCATTTGCTTTCACTTTGTAATCATTTCCGTCCAACTTCCAAACTCCGTTTTCAGAAACTACTGCTGCTGTTGTGTTGCGTCTGTCTGAGTTTTCACTTCCCCTTCAGTGAAACAACACAGTGCTGATGGAAAAACAGCTTTTCGTCCGTCTGCTGCTACTCACGTTGTTGAAAGGTAAGACAAATACTAATATTTCCAACGTAAATAAAGACGTTGAAAGAAAAAAATAATGTGTCTAATTAAAGCTGCAAGCAGCATTGGACGGGCACGTCGGGGGTTGTGGCAGAAATGCGCTCTGAGCAAGGTGACAATCACCTAACTTAAGTTTTAAGTGTATGAAAGAACCACAGAAATTTGTTTATTTCATTGAGGCTTCTTGACTTTGTCAGGAACCTCTATTTCAACAAAATAAAACAAACAATAAAAATTTTTTACTACATTTTAAAATGCTCTAGTTAAAATTGTTACGTTTGTGGTGTTAGGGACGGTTTCGACCCGGTTATAAAAATAAGATTATAAAGCAATAGTTAGAGCCAAAACTGAAATCATAAGTGCACTGTGAGTTCAATTCAGGATAGAGTTGGTGACTCA